CACCCACACCCACACCCACACCCACCCACACCTACACCCACACCCACCCACACCCACACCCTCTTGAGGACTTATCAGTGCCCCTATAGGACAGCTCTTGAGAACCTACGGGTACCACTATAGAATAGCCCTTGAGAATCCAAGGGTATCCCCTAATAGTAGGGCTTGAGAACCCAAGGATACTCCGTAATAGTAGGACTTGAGGACTCAAGGGTACCTCCCAATAGTAGGACTTCAGGACCCAAGGATACCCCCTAATGGTGTGACGTGAGAACCCAAGGGTACCTCTAATAGTAGGACTTGAAGACCCAAGGGTACCCCTAATAATATGATGTGAGAATCCAAGGGTACCCCGTAATAGTAGGACTTGAGGACCCAAGGGTACTCCGTAATAGTAGGACTTGAGGACCCAAGGGTACTCCGTAATAGTATGACTTGAGGACTCAAGGGTACCCCCTAATAGTAGGGCTTGAGAGTCCAAGCGTACTGCGTAATAGGAGAACTTGAGAACCCAAGGGTATCCCCTAGTAGTAGGGCTTGAGGATCCAATGGTACCTTTCAGTAGTACCTCTCAATAGTACCTCTCAATAGTAAGACTTCAGGACCCAAGGGTACCTCTTTTATACAGTATTTGACACCCCAAGGGTACTCCCATTATATTGCATTATTTGATCTATGTGAAGTGAACCGCATTTGTTTGGATAGTGTGTTTGGATAACTTCCCGTGACCGTTCGATTCTCTAACTTTTTTCAAACTTAAAAGAAGCAGCCAAGGCATTGGTATTAGAGATATTCATCAAGATCTCTACAGAATAGAATGGTTTTAAATTTTCTTCTCAGGGTGAGCATCCGATTATGTTCCCTCGTTGGACGAGGAAAATAATATTCAAATTATTATTTGGTCACATTTCTAAAACCCTTCTGTTGACTCAATAGAGAATATGTAGATAGAACGAATTTAACATCCAAACAGGCATTTATTTCATTATCGAGCAATATTTGATTCGAGTCTTCTGATTTTTCAATCGTTCTTGCACAGCCGACGAAATGCTATTGTTCCACAGATCGAACCATTGCAGTGCCTACTAATTCATCAGTATTAAAATTCATAAGTTCGTAATGGCAGGAACTTAGAACTGGGATTGACGGGGTGCTATGATGATACCTTATAAAGCATGAATTTTAGTTGATTGATAAAATATGAACTGGTGTGAAGTGAGCTCGAAATTTCGAGTTTACGCACTTTTAAGCTCACTTTTTTTGACATTTTGAAACTTACCATTGACTTCTGAAATGATCTTCTACGTTTTTCAAGAACATGTTTTAGGTAGTGAGTGTGTCTGTGTTTCTGACTCAGCTGTACCCACACTCTGTTGTATCATAATACAGAAAGAGTATGATCTTTACAAAATAATCTTCGAATATATTAGTATAACGACATCTTTAAATATGCACAACGAAACGAAAGACTTTTTCTTTGTACAATCCATAGATTCCTTTTTTTCTCTTACTGTTTTTTTATTTTATTCGTCACTTTTTTTTTGGTTTTTTCTTATTCTGACGTGTATTTTTTTGAGTCACTTTTTCCCATACGCCCATTTTCAATTCATCTGTGTATAAAAATGTACAGTATGTATTTCATTTTTCAGTCGACGACACTTTAAATCATAGGGTAACATAAAAGACACTTCTCGTTCTTTAATAACACAACAAAGTTAGTTGATTTTCATTTTGAAATAATCTTTTCTTTATATTATTGAACCAGTTAATAGTCTATATCGAAGAAAGTCACTAAGTCTCATATTCAAAAATTAGAACAATTTCTAATGGCTAGAGCAATAGGTATTGATTTGGGTACAGCATATTCATGCGTTGCTGTATTTCAGCATGGTAAAGTTGAAATCATTCCTAATGAACAAGGAAATCGAACAACACCATCCTATGTTGCATTCACCAATGATGGACGTTTAATTGGTAATGCAGCTAAAAATCAAGCATCTATTAATCCAAATAATACTATCTTTCATGCTAAACGACTTATTGGTCGTAAATTCTATGATCCAACTGTACAAACTGATATGAAACATTGGCCATTTAAAATAATAAATGATGTTGGTAAACCAAAGATTCTAGTTGAATATAAAAACGAAACAAAATTATTTACTCCTGAAGAAATTTCGGCAATGATATTAACAAAAATGAAAGAAATAGCCGAGACTTATCTTGGTAAAAAAGTTACAGAAGCTGTTATTACCGTTCCGGCTACTTTCAATGATTCACAACGTCAAGCAACAAAAGATGCTGGTGTTATTGCTGGTTTTAATATATTACGTATTATTAATGAGCCAATAGCTGCTTCTATTGCTTATGGTTTAGATAAAAGAATATCTCCCGAACGAAATATATTAGTTTTTGATTTGGGTGGTGGTACTTTTAATGTATCAGTTTTAAAAATTGAAGAAGGAATCTTCGAAGTTAAATCAGCAACTGGTAATACACATTTAGGTGGTGAAGATTTTGATAAACAAATGGTTGCATATTTTATACAAGAATTTAAACGCAAATATGGTAAAGATTTATTACAAAATAAACGTGCTATTCAACGACTACGTACTGCTTGTGAATCTGCTAAAGTAAGTTCATTTTTAATAAAAAGCTGTTAATCTAGATGTGTAAGTGTGTAACAGATCATTTGATCTCTCATGAGTAGGAGCTGGTAGACCAGCTCTGTCGATCTGTGAGCTGATATGAACTCGTTACTACTCGGCATAGCCAGCCATCGGTCACCTTCGCATGAGGAAGGTTCGAATACATGAAAATAAAGAAAACTGTATCGACAATCAAAAGTATACTATCGACAGATTATTAGACATGTTGCAAGCTCTGGAATGTTTTTTTTTGACCAATGATATAAACCCCATTTTATTCAATTACGTATCTAAATAAGAGATTTATTAACCAATTTCATCAAAAAAGTATAATTTTACTTCCTGTTAAATTTCATTTTCGTCTGAAACATGAATGGCAGCTTTATTGTGATAATGTTATGAGAGTAAAATTTAATTACTTGAACAATAAACTTTCTTATTACTACTCGTGGATTAGAAAAAACATAGACTTTTATCGTAATAATTTTAAAATTTCAGATTCTCGAACCTTTCCTATTGAAATGTCAAAATAGATGAAATTCGATGACGGACAGTATTTTTAGTTTTTTACTCGATGCATTTATGCGTGTTAAAAAATGATTTGATATTCTGAAAGCTTGCGGGAAAACTGAGCAACTTTCATACAGAACATTTATTCGAATGTCTCTTCATTCAGTTGCAAAATACTAAACTTCTGCCTTACCCTAAAAACAAATCATTCCATTTTTTGAAATTTCGTGACGGTCGATAATATCTTTTGAATATCTCAGGTTTGGCTAAAGCAAAATCAATGAAATTTTTGCAGGTGATAGATCTAAATAATCTGTATCTATGATAAAAATTTCTGAGAGTTTGCTTTTGTCATTGATGAGATAAAGATGAAATT